AGTCGGGGTGCCAGGAGGAATTGTGCTTCTGTGCCAATCATTTCTGAGGCGGCTTGAACTCCTTCATAGGCAGCTAAGATTTCCTTCTCTGTGGGAGTGTAGTTGGCTTCGGACCCTCTGTAGCTTTGGCTCCAGAATCCCAGTGGTCGGCCTCGAGTCTCACCAGGCACTTTCTGCCAAAGGCTCCAGGACAAGCCATTGTTCCCAGCTGCAGAGTAGAGCACGTTCTTCACATCTGGTCCTGTTCTGACTGGGCCAAGGGCTACTGCATGAGCAATCTCCTGTTTGATCTGAGCAAAGGCTTGTTGCTGCTCAGGGCCCCAGTGGAAATCATTCTTTTTTCGGGTAACCAGGTAGAGAGGGCTCACGATCTCGCTGTACTCAGGAATGTGCATTCTCCAAAAACCTATGGCACCTAGGAAAGCTTGCGTTTCCTTCTTGCTGGTGGGTGGAGACATTGCAGTGATCTTATTGACGACCTCGGTGGGAATCTGACGCCGTCCCAGACGTCACTGACGCCACTTTACTCCCAGGAACTGGATCTCTTGAGCAGGTCCTTTGACTTTGTTCTTCTTGATGGCAAAGCCAGCTTCTAGCAGAATCTGGATGATCTTTTCTCCTTTCTCAAATACTTCCACTGCTGTGTTCCCCCACACACTGATGTCATCAATGTGCTGTAGATGTTCTGGAGCCTCACCCTTTTCCAGGGCAGCCTGGATCAGTCCATGGCAGATGGTGGGGCTGTGCTTCCACCCCTGGGGCAGTTGGTTCCAGGTGTACTGCACTCCCCTCCAGGTGAAGGCAAACTGAGGCCTGCATTCTGCTGCCAGGGGAATGGAGAAAAATGCATTGGCAATGTCAATTGTGGCGTACCACTTCACTGCCTTGGACTCCAGCTCGTACTGGAGCTCCAGCATGTCCGGCACAGCAGCGCTCAGCAGTGGAGTCACTTCATTCAATGCACAATAGTCCACAGTCAGTCTCCATTCTCTGTCAGACTTGTGCACAGGCCAGATGGGGCTGTTGAAGGGTGAGTGGGTTTTGCAGACCATCCCTTGGCTCTCCAGCTCTTGGATCATCTTTTGGATGGGGATCACAGCATCTCGATTTGTCCTATACTGCCGGCGAGGTGGCAATTGGTACTCGCTGTTCTTCCACTTTCAGGAATCCTACTGCAGATGGTCTGATACAGACTCTGATAGTCCAGGCAAGCTGTTCAATTGCTTAATGTCCTCTGCCTCCACAGCAGCTATTCCAAAAGCCCACCTGAGTCCCTTTGGGTCTTTGTAATAGACATTTCGAAGGAAGCCTATGCCTAGAATACACGGGGACTCTGGGTCAGTCACAATGGGATGTTTCTGCCACTCCTTCCCAGTCAGGCTCACCTCGGCTTCCAACAGAGCCAACTGCTGCAATCCCCCCATCACCCCAGCAATGGAAACAGGTTCTGCCCCCACATGTCCTGATGGCATTAGGGTACACTGTACCCCAGTATCAACTAAAGCTTCGTATTTTTGTGGCTCTGATGTGCCAGGCCATTGGATCCACACCCAGTTTTCCCGTGCCTCTTCCTGGCTAGAGGCAGGGCCCCTCTAGCATCCTCTCCTCCCTGGGCATACATGCTAGAGGTTCCTTCAGGGGGATCATCCTCTTTTCTGTAATATCTGGCAGTTTGGTCACAGGAGGTTGAGGCTACCTTCACTTTAGTGGAACCTTTCTGGTTACTGGTTCCCTGCCTGAGTTGACACACTCGTGCTGCCAGGGCAGAAGTGGGTTTCCCATCCCACTTTCCCATGTCTTCCCCATGGTCATGTAGAAAGAACCACAGCTCAGTTCGTGAGGTGTACCTTCTCTCTCTAGCTGGGGGACGCTGGGATTGGAGTTTTGGGCTTGTGACCTGCAGTGGTGCCATACGGGAACTGCTCTTCCTCATCTCTTCCCTCATTTCCCTCATCTCCTCTTTGAGTTCCTTAATCACAGCAGAAATCTTAGCCTGATGCGGGCCATACATACATAGACCATACTGTCGAAATTTCTAAGCCTGGTGGTGACAGAACCCACCGTCTCTCGGCTGTTATCAGCATTAATCGTTGCAATATAGGTGGTGTAGTCACGTGGCCCTAGATTTGCCAGACTCCACAACATCTGCCCAGTGCACCTGACTTTGTCGGGGTCGTTATCATGCTGTCCACCCCTCCCAGAAAGGACCTCTAGTATTGCCACTTCTCTCAGCTGTTGGATCCCTTCCTCAATGGTTTTCCATTCCCTTCTATGATAGTGCTCTTCCATTCTCTCTCTGTGGGCAAACCTCTCTCTTACACTCATCAAAAGCCACTCCCAGAGGGAAAGGGGCCCTTGCTCCCTGACGAATATCTGATTCACACCTGAGTCTTGGGTCAAGGGTCCCACATTCCTTGCCTCACCACCATCCAGCTGCACTCCTGTACCCATAAGGTCCCAGACCCGAAGTAACCAGGTTGTATAAGGCTCAAGCCCCCGCCTCACAATGTCTTTTTGTAACTTACGGAGACTATCATATGTCAGAGACTCAGTGATGATTTCAACTTCTGGCTCCCTTGTGGGTTGTGAGGACCCTCCTTTCTTATCCTTACCAACAGGGTGCTGTGATTTCATCTTAGACTTCCTCGTTTCCACAGGGGCAACAGCTGCTGGCTGTGACTGCCCTTGTGGTTCAGCTGGAACCTGGACAGTTGTAACGTCTGTGGGTTCCACTGCAGCACCATCAGACTCTCCCTCTTCGAGGCAGGGGGAGGGTTTCTCAGCAGCTGAGGAAACGTACTCCTTTAGCATCTGGTCCATCTCATGCATCTCCTTGACCAGAACCCCCACCCGAGTTTCTCAGCAGCTGAGGAAATGCACTCTATCTTCTGGCTCATCTCATGTACCTCCTTCACCAGAACCCCTACCCACTCTGGGTGGTTCATTTCTGAGGTGGGCTGTGGGGCAGGGGCAGGCTCTGGGGCAGCACCCCCTGTCTCTGGGGCTGTGCCAGGCTCTGGAACAGCACTCCCTGTCTCTGGGGCTGTGCCAGGCTCTGGGGCAGCACTCCCTGTCTCTGGGGCTGTGCCAGGCTCTGGGGCAGCACTCCCTGTCTCTTTCCCTTTGTCTCTGAAGGCTAAGTAGAACAGGCCTATCAGCAACACCAGCCACTGTATGATGTCATTAGCATCCAGAGAAGATTTTAACCCTTCGAAAACTGATGGGGTAGGCCCAAGGAACTGGGTGAAAGGTTGGGAGAAAATTTCCCCAGCTGTCTTTTTCTCCCAGTAGATACCATTATTAAAGTAACCCAAAAACCATCCAGTTAGTGTGTGACAGCTCTGAATCCATGAGCCCGCCATCCAGAGGACGTTAAACATCCATGAATTCCTCACCTTATCAATCCACAAAACAAGCTGGATAATAGCCACAGTAGCCTTAGTTATAGGACCCATATTTAGGTAAGGTGCAGCAAATGGGAGAAATATAGCTGTGACCACATGCCCCGCGAACCTGGGTAAGCTCAACAACATGGTTCTACCTAACAAGGTTTCTAAATCCAGCACACAAAAGTTAGGTTATTTAAGAACTGTTATTCCTGTTTTGCCCTTTTCCTCTCAGCGCCCCACGCTGGGTGGCCAAAATCTGTCTTGGTTCTAGAAGACATGTGTCTACTAGGGAGAGCAGGAGCCTCCCTTGGGATGAAAGAATGTAGACCCCCTCCCTCCGAATTATTATAATTTTGAAACCAAGGGGCTTTCAGGCAGAGATCTGGGGATAGGATTAACAGTTCTTTACTAGTGTAACCAGGCAAACAAACAAACAATAATTACAGCAATAACAAGAACACAGAACCAGGGACCCTGGGACAGCTTTCTCGGCTGAGACAGGACGGAAGAGAGGCTTTGTTTCACAAACCCCTCAGGCAGTCAGTCGGGTGCTCCTGCAGGGCTCTGAGGAACAGTCGGCTGGAAACAGCAGGGACGAGCTGAGATCCTGGGCCGATGGCTGAGGTGTATCAGCAGCTCCGTGGCGGTGGCTGCCATATGTCCCGGAAGGACAGAGGGTGCGAGGCCACCAACAAAGAGGGGAGAAGTAGAAGAAGCACCCGCTCCGTCTGGGTGATGGCGAAATTCCCTTCTCCCCACCGCAACAGCTCCGCGACCCAGCAAACGAACGTCCTTCCCCAAAGCCGAAGAAAGCCAGCTAAAAAACTGTCCCCACCCTCCTTTTCTGCCCCCTTCCCCCCCTCCCGGGCCCGGACACTCTTTGTCCGTTGTGAGCATCCCTAAGTACCGGTAGTTAGGTTGTCTCAGCACATAATCGGTAAAAAATTCCCCGGGCAGTCCTGAAGGACAAAACAAAAAAAAAGTACACCTAACCCTCAACATAGGGTTAGGTGGAAGGTCCAAGTGCCCTGTTTGTCACCCCGTCTCCAAAGGGCCAGGAGACAGCATGACAGGTACTGCTTTTATATTTAAAAACAAAANCACTGGGCACTTCTGGGAGCAGCAGCACGACTGCACCAAGGGCTGACTGCCATGTAGAGACAGCCCTTGCTGGGATAGCAGAAAGCTGGCTGCAGAGCCGGACAGCAGCACGGGCAGAGGGCCGAGATGGTGAGTGGACAACTGATCGTGGTGGTACTCGTGGGTGCCCAGTGAGCACACCCTGGCACACTGCCCCACACCACATCCCTGCAGTTACAGCTGCCTCCTGGCACCAGTGCTGTAGTTTGGACTATCAGGTGGGGCAAAAGCCAGAGCTTAGGCCTTCACCACTACTTTATTCAGCTCCACTTTCCAATGGATCTCTAAGAACCAGCTGCTCCACTACTGCAGAGCTGGAGTGACTCAAAAGTACATTTGCTCTTCATTCTCAGGACAGGCTAGGGACCCAAGATCCAAGCTGTGCTGGGTGAGGCAGGTGGAAGTTTGGGCTTCTTGGGGCAGGAAAAACCCGTGTGGGAAAAAGCTGCCTCGGAGCAGGCTTACCTGAGGAATTTTGTGGGAAGCTGCCATCCCCATGGATGATGGGCATATTGGGCAGTACGGGCACGTTGTCCTGCTTCCTCAAGACCTTCTTCTTCAAGGCACTACCAGGGTGTTTTCTCTGCACACTGGAAGCTGTGCCATTGACAGGCAGTCGGCTAAAGCCTGTGGGGAGACCAAAGAGGAGCTTGTAAGTGAAGGCTGCTGCACAGGGTGAGGATGGAAAGGGAAAACTTGCTGGAGTTGGGTAACATCTCTTTGTTATCCCAAAGAACTTCAAGTATAACACTGGCACGCTAACATGGAACAGTGATCCCAGAATCCCAGAATCCTAGAAGAGTTTGAGTTGGAAGGCACCTTTAAGCACCATCTAGTCCAACCCCTGTCAGCAGGGACATCTTCATCTAGATGAGATTCCTCAGAGCCCCATGTAAATTGGCTTTGAACACTTTCAAGGTTGGATCAACAACAGCTTCTCTGAGCAAACCCTTCCAGTGCTTCATCCCCTTCATTATAAAAACATTCCCCCTAGTATCTAATCTGAATCTACCCTCTTCTAGTTTAAAACCAAATTGCAGTGATGCTTCCCCTAATAAACAGGGAAAACACGGTATTGCTTTGCTTTTGTTTTCCTGTTTCAGAGGCTGGCTGGGGAAGTTACCAAATGAAAGTGCAGATAGCCTTGCATGATGCCCTGGGGCTGAGTGCTGCCTCCTAAGGTCCCTGCTGCCACCCTGGGGGCAGCACATACAGCACTGCAGTCAGAGCCCCTCAGCCAGGATTCAGTCAGGAACACTGCTGGCTCCTGGGGCTACAGCAGAAGCACTGGCTTGGGGCTTCAGCACAGCTCTACAGTGCCAGCTCCTCTGCAGGCTGTGGCAGGAGGAGGATCTCTGGTGTTTCCATTAGAAGAAGTTGTATTTTGTTTCTTCTCAGTTCCACCATGGCTGAAGAGCATTCTTTTGGACTCCCCTTCCCTGGAGGCTGCTCTCCAGGAGAGAGTCTGAAGCCTCAGTCAACTTTGCAAGACAAAATTTTCTTCTCTGAAAGGCTTTGGAGGTTAAGGTGGGAAGCTGATATTCTGTTTTTGACTCAGTGAGGCTATGGGCTTCTGTATATTTCTTGGGGGAGAAGAAAGAACTCCTCTTCAAGCTTCCACTCAGATGCAATCAGAGCAGCCCCCCTGTCTGATTGCAGCACCGTGCAAAGGGCAAGCAAGTGGTCAAAAAAGACTACAAGTGTAGCCACCACCTACTTGCTTCTTCTGCATTCCCACTGTCAACTGTCTGTGCAGGCAGCTGCAAGGATGTTTTCCTTTGTGTCCTTTTCTTCACTTCTTCCTCAATAAGCTCCTCAACCTTCCACTCTAAGTTCTTTTGAGCCAACTTGCACAATGCATTGCAACTAGGTCTAGTTGCAATGGAAATACATCACAGATGTAAGCAGAGACACCCAAACCAGACACAACATCTCATCAGGAGCACAGGGTCCATAGAGTGCCACAGCCTTTAATGCAGCTCCATATTCATTCCAATAGTTTCACAAGCATGTCTCCTGTCCTCACCTTGGCAATTACACACAGGGAGGTGGAAGACTTTAGGGCCACAACCTTACACTGCTCCAACTGCAACCTATGACAGGAAACCCTGCTTGAAGTACAAAAGTCATCAGAGTGCTCCAAGACAGATGAAGAGCTCACATGCCCAGTGAGCAGGCAGTTCAGTTCCTACAGGCCATGGCAGCAGAATAAAAACCACGTGCAATATGCAGCAAGGAGGGGTAATTGCTGTTGCATAACACTCCTGGCCAGGAATGGCAGCTGTTTCTCACTTCCTGGCTTCTGAAGGACTCAGTTCTGAGGGATTCTGAAAGACTCTGAAGGACCCTGAAGGAAGTCTGCTCATCTATGTCTTTATCCCTTACCTTTCCAAAGCCATCCCTCAGGTCTTTGTCACTCCTAAGACCAGTTCTGCTGGGATAATCCTTCTCCTTGGCTTGGCTCAGTGGGAGGCCTGGTAATGGAAGCAAAGGTTCGTGTAAACCTCTGGCAGACTTCAAGCCCTCAAAAACGCCATGTGGGCAACAGGCAAGACAGGTTCCAGACTGCAGAGCTCTCATAAGACACAGAGATTGTGTAAGAGAGCAGCAAGGTACATATGCCTAGACCCTCTCCCAGTGGATGTGCTACTGGCAGCAGACAGGACATTACTCTGTTGGCCAGCAGACTGAAACCTGCTGCATGATGAAGGCCTCAGCCCCTGGATGCTGGAGAGCCTCAGTGTTTGAAAGAGAAGGGCAGAGATGGAGATTGCTCTTGGCAGAGATTCTTATCTGCCCTTATGCTGATTTTAGTAAACATCTTCCTTCGGGTTTCTAAAAGAAATCCCTGGTTCTAATACCTGTGGGCATTTAAATCAACACTTTCTTCTCTTTGCTGGAGTATTTTAGAGGAGATTGAAAGAAAAGCTTAGGAGTGCAGGAGTGGTACCTAAACATGAACTCTGTTCTTGACACTAGATAATTTGCCTTCCCCAAGGATTTTCATTCAAAACTGTATGAGATTGGGCCACTTTTGGGACAGACTGACTAAAAGCTGATTTTCTTAATGCAAGTAGAATAATGCAGCTCATTCTGAAATACTATCCAACAGAGCTGTAAAAATTCAGAGAACTACTCATTCTATACAACAACTTCACAGAGGCTAAAATCAAGTGGCAGCAAAGCAGAAAATAGCCAGTGTTTTAAATCAGGATTTTTTACCCCTGCAGAATGGTCAGCTTAAAAATAAAGGAGAGTTAGATAAATCCTTTGAGGGAAAAAGGCAATTCTAGATGGAAGGCAAGGCCTTGGAAGGTAAGAGCATCTGGGAAGTTGGCAGGGAAACTTCTGACGCCAGGGTAACCTCCTTGGGACCACTGCAGTCATTCATGTCTGCAAAATGGACACACAAAATGTAACAGAGGCCACAATGCAAACCTAAAACATCTGGAGCTCCATATTTCATGGGACAGACTTCCTGCAAACTTCTAAATAGCTGCACAGGGAAACATGCTCCTGCCAGCAGCCACTTGAAGTGAGCCAGGGGGAAAACCCTGTCCCACTTGCACAGAGCTACCACAGGAACCCCCTGGCCTCTGGGCTGGCCTGGGACAGCAGGGAGCCCAGAGCCCTGGGCTTTGCAGCCATGGCTCAGCTGCACATGCAGCCTCCTGCTCCTGTCCCTGCCCCACAGCTGAGCAGCCCTACAGCTACACGGGGCACTGGCAGCAGCACAGCTCATTGCAGGGGGCACATGCAGGGCAGAACTGTTCCCTGGGGATGAGCACAGGCTCTCTGGGATGGCACAAGACCCTTCCTCCTGCCAGAGAGCAGCCCAGATCCCACCTTAGCTCTGCATGAGGTTGAGCTGTGCTCAGCCTTCACCTTGTCCTCCCTGGCAGTGACCCTGGGGGCAGCGCTGCTCTGCTGCCTCTGCCGGGGCTCCTGGGCCCCGCTGATGCTTTCACAGCCTGCAGGGCTGTCTCCCAGCCTGGCCTGGCTGCAGCTTCTCCCCAGCCTCTGCAGGAAGGCATTTGGCATCAGCTGACAGGGAGCCCAAACTGCACCACAGGCCATGCACACCCTGAGATCCCCTGCAATTTCTCAGTCTCCGGCTAGATCAGGTCTTGGGGCTGTTTGGAGAAGGGACCAACCTGGGACAATCCTGAAATCCTGCATGTTTGCTGATACTTATCCATGCCTTTCACAGATATTTTCTCCTCAAGATGGCACCCCCACAATGAGGAACAGCCCCATCTGATCTAGCTATCCCTCTTCCATTCTCCAGAAATGAAACGAGAGCCTGTGCAGCAGGAAACATTCCCTGAAGGAATCATTGATCCTGTGCCAGCCTCTGCTGCAGGAAGGGAGGCCATGCCAGGCACAGTAACAAAAGGTAATTGCTGTGCCTCTGGGCCTGAGCCCTGCTGAGGCTTGAGCTGCCATCTCTGCTGCTTGGCAGTGCCTGCCCGTCAGGGATGTTGCACAGAGCATGGAAAGGGTGTTGAGAGTGACCAGGAGGCAGCCCACAGCTCCCCTGGCCCCTCTGCAGCTTTGGCCTTGTCCACTGACACCTGGCTCCCATGGCCTTACCCAGCCCCATTGCAGTGCCCAGTTCCCTAAGACAGAAGGGGATCCCAGCACACCCTGAAAAAGGTTCTCATCTGTGCTCCCTTCCAGATAAGGTTCCTGGCAAGGCTTCTCCATTAGCTTGGCTGCATAAAATTTTGAAGCCCTCTGGGCCTCCTGCAGGTATGTTCTCAGTGTCCCATGGAGGATTAATCATTGACAACCTGTCAGGGACCAGGTGACAGAAGCTTCTGTGGCTGTTGAGTTACAGGTGTGTCTGCAGGGAGGACTTCCTCAGCTCCTGACCTGGTTACTGCACCCAAGCCCAGCTCCCATCGCAGGGGTGAGTGGTGTGTCCCTGCTGACCACACATGCTTGAGAACTGGTTTTGTGGGATTCATTCCTGGGAAGTTAAAATATTTTCTGTTAAGTTCCTCCAACAGTATAGACCAAACAGACATCAGACAAGAAATGCCTGGAGCCATTTGAAGTCATGTGGCAAATGCTGAAGAAAATACTGCAGGGAGCACAAGGTGGGTCCATGTCCCTCAGCTTTCCCCAGAGACTCAGCAGCCAGGGGCTTTCTCTGCACATCTGGACATGCTGTACCCAACACAACAGGAAGGGATCCATGGCAGCCTTGCTCCGTTTGGAGGGTTAGACCTTTCCTGATCTTTTTCCATGTCTTTGACAAGTATTACTTCCTGAAGAAGCCAACTCCCCGATGGGCAGCAGTTCCATCTGATCCAGCTGTGCTTCTTCCTTTCTCCACAGATGGACCAAAAGTCTTTGCAGAAGGCAGAACTTCCTGCAGAATGCAATGGCTTTGTGCCAGATCCCACTACATGAATGGAGGAGATACCTGACAGTGCCACAGAAGGTGATTGCTGTGCTCCTGCTGGGGTCCCTCCGTGTGAGACACATCCTGAAACCTGGGAGTGGCTGCAAGGGGTGACCATGGTGGGGAAAGGGCAGAGAGGGAGGCCAGGGCTCCAGTGTGTCCTGACAGGGCCTGGTTCTGTCCCCTTGGGCTGGAAGAGCTGTCACAGAGCAGAGAGGGTCAGGGATGGCAGTGGCTGCTCAGGGATGGGTTTGACTCGTGTCCCTGGAAGGAGCCACTGCCCAAGCAGCTGCGCTATCCCTGGGCTCTGCTCCCGGCCTTCTGGGCTCTGTTGGGGGGCACAGCCTGTGCCAAGGGGCAGCAAGGTGCCTGCAGGCCCCAGCTCTGGGGCAAAGAGAACGTCCTGGCCGTATCCAGCGTGCTGCCAGCTCAGCAGTGGAGCACAGCACAGGCTCACACTGCCCATTGCTTCTGTAGATGTTATCACTGCAACAGGAATTTATGTCGAGTATGCAGTGCGCCTGCAAAGAACTGTCTGGCCCCAGGATGTCCACAGGTCCTGCATGATAGGCAAAGTAATGACAGTGTTCAATGTGCCCCTTGTCCTGATATGCTGCTGTTTTGGGATTCGGAAGCTCTACGAGATCAGACGGTAATTTGTTGATTTTTCTCCATAGTTTTCTTAAAACTCTGCTCATAGCACTGGTAGCCTGATTCGTAGTCATGCTGCTGTGCACTTGTGGGTAGTCCTTGGTTGCCCAAATAACTTTGCTTAGAGTTCTGCTGCTGCCCAGGCCTTTCTTTGGCCTCTTCACTGCGGGGCCTTGTCCTGGGGAGCCCGCTCGGGCTGCAGCCAGTGCTGGCTGCCACTAAGGCTGCCTGGCCAAGAGCAGCCCCAGGAGCAGCGGGCAGAGACAAAGCAAGTTCACAATATTTGACAATCATTTCATGATAGGACAGAGGTTATTTAAGAGCTCATGTAAAGTTTCATGGTAACAGTGATGTTACTGGACAAGCAAATTTGCTACAATTCAGTGTTAAAACCAATCCAACCTGATGAAATTTTGGCTTTGGCCTTGAGACTTTGCTCTTTGTGTGAGCCCTGTTCTGGACTGACTCCCAATCAGTCTTGGAGCCAGTTCTGGGTGAAGGCTCATCCGAGACCTGACCCTTGGCAGATTTGGGCTCCAAGGGGCAGCTGAGGCTGCACTGCACGTGACTAGGCTGCATGGCTCCAATATCAAAGGGCTTTGAAAAGTGTAAATTACTATATTTTTACTACATGGCTTTTTTTATATAGAATTTAAAAGTCTAATAGAAAGACAATTAGAAGATAAAAATAAAGTAAAATATATAGATGTGGCCGGGTTTCTCTGCATTCAGCTAAGAGAACACACTTTGCTAACAAAGGATTGTCCCTTAAAAGCAGAACCCTACTACATAGTCATAAATTCTCATACAGAATTCAGACATTCTTCTTAAGTTTTAGATGTTCTTTTGTTTAGTTTTTAACTTCCTCTCTTCTCAATAGATCAATCTTCTTGGTGCCACTGGGTTTTACCCTCTCTTATAACGGGTGCAATAAATTCCTCTCTTGGAGGGTTTGGAGGACTGCTGTCTTTATCTGGACAAGGTAATCTAAGAATGCAGGGGGGTCTCTGACTGTCTTTTCAGTCTCTGGGTTATATAAACAAAAGTAGTTTGTGCTTAAATATCATGTTATAGCCTAACATACATATGTATTATACCATTATTTCTAAGTTTCATCAATAACAGAAATAAAAGAAACTATATGAATGCACAAAGTTTTCTAACTTTACACATATAACATTTATTTTAATATTTGCAAAAAGCCAATAATATAATATGCCCTTAGAACATGGAGGAAATTAATTCACATTTTTTAAACTTTTTTTAAAAAATCTTCTTTTCCAGTTCTTTTTCCAGTTATTTGATACAGTGAATTACAGCAGAATTAGCCTATGGCAGAATTACAAGACTGTAAGTACTATAAAATGAAATAGTTTTTTACATTCTTCTGTCTTTCACAGACTGATCAAACTTATGTTGGCTTGATGTGACCAACATAAGAGTTTGGCTCTGCTTTTAATACAAACAAGGAGCAGAGCTGGAACCCGTTGAAAAGAATCTCTTCCCTTCATAGCTTATGCAAACTGCCAGGGTTCTTTTTTTCCAGCTCTGGGCTGGAATATAAAAATATTACAACAGCAAATACTCCTGTGTTGGAATCCAAAATAAAAGCCTCTCTGAGCTCCTCAGAGAGAGAGAAAAGCATTAAACTATATGAAAGCATAGATATTGAATAAATTGTAGGTTTCACTTATAAGTAAGTAAAAATATAGCTTAAGTGCCCTAAGACTCTGTGTTAGCTAGTGAAAAACCTTATTACCCAGTTTAAAGTTCAGTGATAATACCCTTCACATATTCAACTTAGCTCTAGACATAATGAAAATATAGTTTGCATTCTTGGATAGAATAGATAGGATTATTCATGTAAACAGATAATACCCTCTACATAAGATTTAGGTAAAAAGAACATTATTTTTGCAAGTTAGAATTAAGTTCAGATTAGTGTAGAAAGTGTAGAAAAACATTTTAACAGAGTAAAAGCATGAGATTTTAGTAAAAGCCTGTCCACACAAGCCAGCCTTTGGTATAAATAACAATATTAAAGGTAGTGTCCTTGAAACTCTCATAGAGCAGCGAGAATAAAGAAAAACAATAGCCTTGTGTTCTGGGGAAAGAATGTAAACAATACATATTATCCAGTAGTAGCTTGTTAAGACCGCGGACCCTGTCGGACCCTGTAAAAGTGTGCTAAAGATAGAAATAAACGGCGTTCGCCATACTTCTGTGATAACTCAGTGAATAGTCAGGTGGTTTCTCAATATCTGGCACCCAACCAGGGAACTTTTGCAGGCTGAGAAGATTTGGTGGTGAAGCTGGTGGAGCCGATCCATGCGCGGGGAGACATGGACGCGGATCAGTACCGGATAGGCAACCTGTGCGCAGGGAGACGCAGAGTAGAGGCGGGATGCTTGGGGAGACTGAAGGTGGAGGAGTTGAGGAGTCGCTCCCCTCCCCCCGCCTGTGGCCACCAAGAATGGATGGGTTTGCAGCAGCACAAATTGCTTCTAAACAGTATCTATCGTTAAACGAAGTGAAGCAGTCAAGGATATGGACCCTGGAAAGCTCGTTCTATGGGCTAGAGATAATAGGCACGGGTGCCCAGAAGAATGGAAAGGTATAGGAGATTTGTTGTGGAAGAGAACAATTACAGGGAAAAGCAAGGACACTCTGTCTCTCAGTCCAACTTGGCAGATTGTAATTAATACCTTAAAGAACAGGAAAGAGAGATATGCTGAGACTGTGAGCAGCGTAATTTTCAGCCGGCAGCAGCTGCCTTTACCTCCCACTGCTGGGCGAGCATTCCTGTCTATGCCACCCTTGGAGAGAGGGAGGGAGAGTCAGAGAGAAGAAAATAAGAAGATACTCCACAACAAATGCTGAAATAACAAACAGAATCAACGTTCAGAAACGGCAGGATGTGATACATCCTGAACTATTTGCTCCACCTTTGGAGACACTATGTGATACATCCTGAACTATTTGCTCCACCTTTGGAGACACTTTTAACACCACAATCTTACCTAAGTTCCAACTTTACTACCTGGAAGAAGAGAAACCTGATTTAAAATGGTTTCCGCCTGAACCAGGGGGACGTGGGGGAAAGCACTGAAGTGTGCACAGAGAACAAAGGCACCCCCAGGG